TCTCGGCGCTCCATCTGGTGCTTGCTTTCCTGCCCGCGAAGCGGTACTCATTCTGTTCAGACGGTTCTTAAAATGAGCTACATGAGTGCTTATTAGGATAGCATGCTATTTTGCATGGTCCCTTTGTACTAGATCACGATGGTAGGGCTATGGGTAATTGACTGTATTCAAACAGAAGTCTTCCCTACCGGTTCAAGCAAGTTGGCAGTGCTCTCGTGACCTCCATATTCAACAGCGAGAAAAAAAACTGGCTGTATTGGGCCCTGTTTTACAAGTTATCTACACTTATTGGGTTGCTCGATCTTGAGTATCCGACCAAGCTTTGATTCGGAGTTTTTGCTGGTCAAGAGAGCACTACACAATCTTTCATTCTGTTTATCCTTTTTTTTCGCGAGAAGTCCTCCAAATGATGCCTTTCGAACTTTGAGGCAGCACCGAAATCACCGATAACAGGTCAAGATTATTATCATTATTCAGCTACTGCAATGCCTTTCTAATTGAACTTATTAAGATCTTAATAGATCCATTCAAGCTTATTCTCACCCATGAATATTGCTCTGACCTCATCTCTTGAAATTCCCACACCTGGGATCAATACGCACTCATTCCTTTACCTTTTGTTGCCGGTTTGAGCTGTCAAAAATTCGAACAATGCTATTATCAAAACTGTGTTTGTAAGCACAACCTAGCTTCTTTGTGTAGCATGGTGAACTCTCATTTGAAAAATATCTGTGGTCGCTTTTCTGAATCCAGACTGTCGGCAAACGGGTGGCACTAATAGACTCACTTATACGTGGAATTCTTGAAGAGGACTCGGTAGCTGCTGTGTCTCGAGTTCCCTTACGTTTCATTGCTCCACTCCGCCGCCGAAACTTCTGCGATTTAATCCAACATCAGTGCGAGAGATCCGCAGCGTTTGCTAATTTTTCGAGTTTTCTATATTTCAGGTGAAACGAATTCATGAGTACAAGCGGCAGTTGCTGAATATTCTTCACGTTATCGCGTTGTATAATAGAATCAAGGCTAATCCAAACATCGATATGGTGCCTAGAACGTTCCTCTATGGTGGAAAGGTTTGCTAATGGACTATCCTTGAGTTAAAAAAAAACAAAAAACAAATTGTAAATAATATCGTTAAGGCTGCGCCAGGATACCATATGGCGAAGCAAATCATCCGCTTGATCACTAGTGTAGGAGAAATTGTTAACAACGACCCTATCGTTGGCGATAAACTCAAGGCAAGTTCTTTGCTTTGAAAAGTTTAAAAAGTCGTGGGATCTATTATTTCTGAAACTATGGGAGCTAATGTAGGTAAGTTTTCTGTTGTAAACCTCATCCATGGGCAATGTATGAGCAGGAAGTATATCTGATCCCTCCATAGCTTCTCTGGCTTGAAATCATGGGTTTTCAGGTTGTATTCCTCGAGAATTACCGCGTTTCGATGGCCGAGAAAATCATTCCTTCTGCAGATCTCAGTGAACAGATTTCTACCGCTGGCACAGAAGCTTCCGGTACAGGGAACATGAAGTTCATGGTCAGTGTTATCCCTAAGTCTTCCTATTTTTCTGATTAAATGGAGCTACTGGCTTCTGAAAAGCTGTTTTTAACCTCCTGAACCATTGGGACGGTTCATTGTTCAAATGAACAAGTTTCAGCTCAATGGTGCTCTCACTATTGGAACGCTTGACGGCGCTAATGTTGAAATGGCCGAGGAAATGGGACGAGAGAACATTTTCATTTTCGGAATGAACGTAGACGAGGTATGTCCTGTTCGTGGTACTGCAGTTAAACCGTCTCGATTCTGCCCAGTGTAAGCACTTGTTATAGGTAGAAGAGCTCCAAAAACGTGGATATAATGCCGAAGATTTCATCAACAAGAGCGCTGTTCTGAAACAGGCTAGCCTTAGCTTCTTGTGCAACGCTGACCTACTTAGACTTTCTTCGTAGTACGCATCCTTTCAGATAGTTGAACAAATTGAAGCTGGTATGTTCACACCAGAACAGCCAGATCAACTGCGTGATGTGACTAACATGCTGCGACATCATGATAGATTCCTTGTTTGTGCTGATTTCGACTCCTACGTTGCTTGTCAGGACAAGGTAAGGAGCACCCTTAGAACAAGCAGATCCACCTCTGAATGAATTGGAACTGAATAGATGTGTTCTACCCCAATTCTTGGGCTTTGATGCAGTTAAGCTAGGGCTGTTAAAGACAGCCCCCGCGCTCGAGTAGTACATGGTCGTCCTTCCTTGTGCAAGTAGTACAGCCCCCAAGCTAGAGACTGTCCCACTCTATTCGTCTGCACAGCGAGCGAGAAGCGAGCTACAGCCGCTGTAAGTTCTAGTTCTAACGCCTGCTCAGTTGGACCGCCTTACTTGCTAGATGTCCTCCGACGGAGGCCACTCAGTTGTTCTTAGTTGGGGCGGCATTGCTAATGCCCATGGATAATTCTGCTCCCCTTTATTACAGTTTACTATATACATTCAATTCAACTCATTTCGCGAGGTAAAACGCGTAAAACAAAGTGCATCAATTTCGTTGTGCAAAACCTCGGACGCACAAAACGTGCCCACCTACTCCCAAATCAACATCCGCGTTGTAATAATCCTTTTTCCTCCAAGAGATTTTTCCTCTCTTTGTTGTTTTCTTTTGTGTCTTTTTTTTGCACTGGATGATATCAACTACTGCGAGATGTGATAGAGAGATTTGTGAGCTAGGGGTTGCACAGAGACCGCAGGGAGGTGTGACTGTGAGGGAGCGATTTTGTTTATGTTGTTCTGGAGGACGCTTCTTGCCTGTTTCTTCTTTGGGAGATTACTTATCAGCTACTGTTTCATAATTGGAAAGCAGCTATCCATGAGACTTTTATCGCGGGAGCTGTCTTTAAGTTCCTTCTTCAAAGCTGAGAGTCTTGGTAATGAAAAAAGTATAGCTGCTGGTTCGCAGCTTATTTCAACACTAATACTTTATTCGCATCATCACTCCGGCACATGTTATACAGGGGGGGGGGGCAAAAAAAGTCACTTTGCCTCATTGACTTTCGAGGCGCTATAAATTACACTTTATCAAATTCTGATCGGACATTTTTACTACCATATTGAAGAGCACATTAAGTACTATCACGACACTCCGCCACAGCCTTCTGGACGAACGCCATCGAGAGATTCTGGCACGCGGACCCGAATGTGTACCTCGAGATCAGCGGTAGTCGATTTCTCCGCCACCGTAGACCATTCTTGAAGTCCGCCCGAACTAGGTAATTGAGTGGATTCAGGTCAGGGGACATACTTCAATATTACATCTTCTTCAGGTACGAAACGCCCTTCCATTCGAAGTAGGCGGGAGTTTTTCCAAAACCCTTTGATTCCATGTGGTGGCACCCAAACCTGTAGCAGCACAAGGTCTCCAAGAAGGTACGGGCGACACATGTAGGGAGGATATCCTTCTCGAGTTACTTGATGTAACCGCCAGCGCTCACCTTCAGTCGGGGTCTACAAAGAAAATATCGGTCTTCCCATTCCAGGTACGGCCGGTCCACACATCAACCCGCGCCTTGGTGAATGGGGTGAAGATGATGTCCTGGACCGTAGCGAAGTTGACGAAGCTGCTCGATGTGGGAGGTCTTGCAGATCAAGAGTACTGACCTCCAAAGGTACGTTCTCGTGGGATACTGCTTCTTCAACGAAGTTTCGCAGGTTTGAGGCGACCGATAATTCCAAAGTGTCTCAGTCACGGCCGCGACAGGAGATGACGCATAATTTTTGGTACATGAAGGCGATTGCGTGGCCAGCCCTGCTCAGCTTATAGAGGAAGATCTTGGGTATCTTCCACTCTGGTACTCATATCCACTTCCCCTGTCTGGGCTGCGAAAACTTCGTTGATATGTGGCTCGGCCGAAATGACTTTTTGCCCCCCCCCTGTATGCCCAGCTTGTGCTCCATCTACGTAAGTATTATAACATTCGTGCGCTGTTTCCCTATGGAAGGAGGGAGGAGCCATCCTTGTGAAATTCCCGTCATCATACAGGAGAATGGTACGAAGAAACGATACGCGGAGAAATCGTATAGCCTTGCTTGATGGGGATGATGGGGCGTTTCAGCGCGGCTGCGTTTGGCGCTGCGTATCATATCCTTTGTATCAGTCGTTTCCCGTCAGTTATCGCTTTCCCGCTTCAACAGCCGATGAAGAACTGACTCTCGACGCGCCGAACGCAGCCACGCCCCATCATCCACAGCGGACCAGGCTGTACGTTTCTTTGATTCATTTACATCGTATTGTTCAATGCAGGGTCTCGGGACGCCTTCTCACTCTCTCACTTACTTCTCACTTTCTTTCTTCTACTTTCGTTATTTTCTCAACATTCTTATAATGTATCGAGCTGTCAGTTAGCTGAATCACGCCAAGCAGCCAGATATGAAAGCTCCGGAGTCTGAAGGGGACAGATCATCCATTAATGAGAACATCAGAATTAGCTTCCTTTCAGTTCGATGTGTTGTGATTTTTTTTCTTTTCATGGAACTATTACAGGTGTCCGAGACGTACAGGGACCAGCAGAAGTGGTGTCAAATGGCTTTAATGAACATCGCATCCACAGGAAAGTTTAGCACTGATCGAACCATCGCCGAGTATGCCCGAGAGATTTGGGGTATTGAACCTGGGGAGACCAGTCTTCCCGCTCCCTATGAGAATCCAGACGAACATCCTCATTAATATTTTTGCTCATCATTCTTCATCCTCTCATATATATTATATAAAATTTTTGAGCATGTCTCTATTTTCCCAGTGTACTAGTTAAGCATTTCACAGGTATGCATTGTCATTATTTAATTAGAATAATCTAAGTGTTGGGGCCTCAGTCAGCCTCTCGTCCATGACAGCTAGAACGGAGTGGGATGTTGATTGAACATGTTGCAGGCCCGTTATAGAGATCTTCTAGTATGACGTGTGTCTAATAACTATTCAAACCGATGCCATACTGTGTGAATAGCTCGTTTTAGGTTCTATTTTGTTGACTGTAGATAAATGTGTGATAGGATATGTAGCAAATGTCAGAACATTTTGCTGCGCTTCTTGCCTCAACATGTTCAAAGATACCTGGCCCGAGTATGACAACAGTCCAGGTCACGACAAAGACCTATCTACGTACTCTCCATACACCTGAGACACGGTAGGCTTGGCCAGGGTACAGCGTCGTTGTGTGAAACACATCAGGGAGGGGGTCGTACTTGGTCGTTGTTCAACGTTTCACATTTGCTATTTGGCTGTATAATCCCCCCCCCCTAATCCTTTCAGTTGGTGGCGCCGTCAAGTTCTATACTTCTATGCAACTACTATTTCCGATAGTTGAAAATAGTAAAATAGTAGTTGGTTCCTGACGACCTCCTTCCCCCCCCCCACTCGATGAATTTTTCGGGTGAAAAACTGAAAATGTGGGAAATTTCGGAAAAACTGGTAGGAAGCTGGGAACTTGTAGGAAAGTGGTAGGTAGGTGTTGGGGAAGGGGAGGTCGTACCGAGACCCTCCTTCAGGGGGAGTGTCGCACTGACACCACCATTTCACGCATCACGGTGCTGTACCCTGGGCGTGGCTGCGTACTTTGAACAGTATGGCGGGGTATGAGTTTGTGGAATGTTTCAATTTGAGAGTACTTTCGTGTTATACAAAGATATTCACAAGCGGGCCAAAATGCAAATATCCCACCACAAGCGAAGACGTTCGAATGGAATTTTGTGGTCGCGCCTCCCCATCTTAAGGATCAAAAGTTCAGTTAGCTGTGAGCGCGCCGTGTGCGAATCCGTGGATAGCCGCCGGTTATGACACAGAAGGGTGGGAGGGGGTCAGCTTTTTGTAGGGTTTGTGTGCTCGCTTGTACGTACACTATCAGCGTCTGCTTTGGCCCACAACAGTGCACTGTCACCGCACTTACAACAGTACTCTGTATCGCCGAGATGGGGAGGGCGTGGCTGGCGCACTCAGTTTGAGCGGGTGGTGGCTGCGGTTCAGGTGGCATATTGCCGTTTTGGGACAAATGTGACCATGACATTATCCA